TTTTTACAAATAATTAAAAATTAATTTTTTTTTTTTTATTTTTTTAAAGATTCGATGACCACAAAGACAGACTTGATGAACTTTCAACATGGCAAAATTGTGGAGGTGTTTGCATATTAAATTATGAACTCTTTCGATTGCTTTTAGAAAGTAAAAATTCAAATGTAAAATCACAGTACAAAAAAAAGTTTATGGAATATTTATGCGATCCAGGTACATTATTAATTCTTTATTATTTTTTTATAATATTAAAAAAAATCACACTTTTTTTTTTTTTTACCATTTCACAGGACCTGATTTAATAGTTTGCGATGAAGGACATGTTTTAAAAAATGAAGAAACAAAATTATCTAAGACCATATGTCAAATTAAAACATCAAGACGAATAGTATTAACAGGAACTCCTTTGCAAAACAATTTAAAAGAATGTATGACAAAAGTTTTGCACTTTATAAATTATTTATGTATTTAAAAAAAAAAAATTAACAGAATTTTAAAAATTTTAATAAATTTCAGATCATTGTATGATTCAATTTGTTAAACCAAATTTATTGGGAACGAGAAAAGAATTTTTAAACATGTTTGTTAATCCAATATCTAACGGTCAATATGAAAATTCTTTAAAACACGATGTTCAATTAATGAAAGAAAGATCTCATATTCTTCATAAAAAACTATCGGGATGCGTTCAAAGATTTGATTTGTCAGTTTTAAAACAATATTTACCACAAAAAAGAGAATACGTTATTTTTACGCCATTGACGAATCATCAAATCGATATGTATGAGTATTACATGAGTAATTATTCAGCAAAAGGAGATCCATCTTGGAAAAATACAGCAACTGCATTATTTGCAGACTATCAATCTTTACAAAGAATATGGACTCATCCGTATGCCTTTAAACTTCACGAAGATAGGTTTATTGAGTTTAAAATTCAAGGAACACCGAAAAATAATGATTTTGACGATGATGACGATTATGATTTAGATTATGATGAATTTACGGATTCGAAAAAAAAAAAAAAAAAAAAATACAATAAAACTCGATACCCGTTGAATTGGTGGACTCAATTTTTTTCTTACGATGATATTAAAAATGCAAATCAAAGTTATAAA